CTGCCCCCCCCCCCAGAAGCCCGGCAGTTTGTAGCTCCATTTATAATAACTATTAAAGGCCCTTGGAAGTAAGTCAGATTAGGAAGCTTTACATTATTAGCTCTGTTTTCAATTTAACATTTAAATGATGTGTCTCTATTAATTTTATTAACGAGCGAGTTTCCCTGACACTTCTACGGACACGATTTCTTCGAGAACCCTCCCCTTTTCTCTTGTGGCTTCAAAATTTCCACCTTGGCCTCCCAGTCCCCCCTCCGCTAAGGGGGAGGAAGTAGGAAGGGGGGGTGGGAAGTTGGGTTGGCCTTTTCCTCTTCTCTTCTTCCTCTTGGGCTCTGTTAGAGTCAGTTTTCCCTTAGGTGAACCAGCCCCCCCACCCCCAGATGCCCCCGGGAACACCTGCCACCTTAAGAGACTTCGTGGAATAGCCTAGCTCCTGGCGGTGTGTGTGGGGGGGGGGGGGGCACGCAGAGATGGTCCACAAACACGGGCAGAAGGGAGTGTACTTCAGTCAAATTTCAGGCTGAAGCCCTGGGGTGATTCTTTTAGCAAAACATCTCAAAACATGTTTATTAGTCAGGGACTTGAGAAACTCAGGGCCCCTCTCTTAGCCAGCCCTCTCCGGGGTCTCCTCCCGGGAGGATGGACCAGGAGTCAGAACCCTCACAAGGTGTCAGCTCAGCTCCAGCATGGGCAGAGTGATCCTGGGAAAAATCTCTTCACCTCTTCCTAGCTTAAGTTCCCCCGTCTCAAAAGGTGGATTGGATCAGATAACACTTTAAGTGGCCCCTGGCTAGAAAATTAGGATGTTTCTTTGGGGGGTACAGGAGAGGACTGTTTCTGAGAGACGGCAGAGGCACAGCCCCCTTTCCCTCTCCGCCTGCTCCTCTCTGCAGGGAGGATGGCAGGGTTGGCTCACCTCTGTAGGACCTCCTTGGTAGCATCCAGCCCCCCGCCCCCAACCCCGGGCATGACTCCTGACTGGAGGGCATCTTTGCTTTGGAGACAGAGAGTTTCTTCCCAGGCTATTGGGGGGCCAGTTCGGAGTGCCTACTGTGTGTCAAACATCTTGCTGGAATCTTCTTGCCTATCCTCATAACGGCATTCGGAGATGTTTCCTCCACTCTACAGATGAACACACAGAGACTCAGAATGACTCGGTAACCTGCCGTCGTAGGAAAGGTTACCTCTGCCTGTCTCCGCCTCCCTCCTTAATCAGAGGTACATTGTCCAAGGTGGCACTTTTCCAAAGAAAGAAGGCAAAGTCACTGAATCTTAGAAAACCGTGTCCTCCGAAGTCTCAAGCGGTGTGACTTCCACTCCAGAAGGGTTTCTGGGGGGCCGACTAAAGTTTGGAGATCTGGCCAGATGCTTCCCAGGGCGTCCTGAGTCTTTGTTTTCTGGGATTCTAGGATTTCAACCCAATACACAATTCCAGAAAAGAATTATACTCTCTGCTTTATTAAACTTGTCTGCACTTAGGCAAAGTAGGCGGTTTATCCTCTGTAGGGTTTGTCTTTAAAGGAGGGGGCTAAGTGAGCATGTGCAGAACGCCATCACCTTGCTTTCCAGTTTCCAGGCAACTGTGCAGGATTACAACAAGTCACATGATATCCCTGCTGCCAGGGAGAAGGGAAAAATGGAAAACTGTGCTATCTTGAGAAAGGGGCTGGGTATAAGCAGAGGACTTTGGATTCTCTTCCAGAAATATTATCAACAAGTAGTCAAAGACCCGGAGGCTTGAGAGGGCTCCTGGCTTCTCAGCACTTGGCCCCGCCTCCTGCTGAATGGGAAATGTACCACCAGATCTGAAGTCAAGGGGGAAGGAGAAAGGGCAGGGGTGAGATGGAGGGGGAGTCACTGGGCCAAGGTGACCAAGCACCTGTTCTGGAAATCAGGCTCTCAGAGGGGTCATTAAGGAGAAGATCCAAACTACACCAGGCCTTGTGTCTGTGTCCCCCATCCCCATTCCCTCCTTCCGGCTGCCGCAGCGCCGGGATAATGAGGGAGCAGGAGAATCTTCCGTTGAAGCAGAGCCTGCGATGATGAAGGCTGGCTGGGGGGCAGCGAAGGGTCAGTGGGGACAGCTGGGAGGGGACGAAAACCACCCATGAAGACCAAGTTTCCACTTCCTTTTTTAAAGCCTCTTCTTTCTGATCATTGTTTATTTTGATTTTGGATGTTTTGCTTTTTCTATCTCCCCTCCCCCACATGGTGTGTGTGTGTGTGTGTGTGTGTGTGTGTGTGTGCGCGCGCGCGTGCACGCGCATGCTACTGTTGTTTACGTTGTAGACACTGCCGTGGCAATTTATTCCCCTCTGTATACAACTTCTGTTCCTGTAATGACACCCTCTGTGGCCTAAAGACTCCCTGGAACCACAGGGACGGCTTTGCCCCCGGCTGTCGTGGGGTCGCCAAAGTGGGTGGGTGTGCCCTTGGCCATAGGTCCCACGCACCAGCATACCGGAAGGCCAGGCTCTTAGACGGAGCCGACCTGAAGGGGACTGGCTGCCAGGCTCCTCACACCCAGCAGTTGACCCAAGGCAAAGATGAGTCATCCGGCCACACTGTAGCCCCAGCCTTCCCGGTTTGCCCTGAGGTGGCCATAATCCGTAGCCTGGACTGCTGGCTGGCTGTCAGCCTGGCTGCCTGGGGAGGTGAGCCATGGACACAGAAGGGCAGGTATTGGGAAGGGAAATGTCACCCGCCTTGGCTCTAGGGAGCAAAAAAGTCTGGCAGCGTGGTCTGCAAAGGCCTCTAGTCCCTTGTTGCAGCCCCACCGGCTGGGGGCAGCAGGGCACAGCCCCCCACTGCTTATTCTTTTCCGGCACATCGTGGGTGTTTTACCATCCTTCTCTTTTCCTACAGAAGCCTAACGAGACCCATTTCTTGCATCTTTCAAAGTTCCGAAGGTCTCATGATAGGCTACAGGCCCTTCTGCATTGAAAAGCGTTGTCATCCATTAATTCAACAAAAAAAGTAAATAAGAAAGTGAATAGAGCTGGGGACCGCAAGCCTGGCCCAGTATCGGCGCTGGGCTTCCCTTTTCACTTATTGAAACAATTTGACGCCTTTAAGATTTTCAAGTTAATAGCGCATCGTATGAGGGACCATTCTAAAGCAATAGACGTTCTAGGTTTGTGGCCTGTTTTCTTGTTACGTTAAGTGAGAAGAGACGGTTGTGCCTCATCAACATTACTGGTGGCATGTGGGGAGGTGACATTCAAAGGTGACAGTGGGTGAGGAGTTTTCAATAATCCACACTGCAGATCAAGGAGAAAAAAGACATTCCATGTCTGTTTAATACGTAACATATGGCAGCATAGGCGACACCGGCAATAGCGCGTTGGGAATGCGGTTGTTACAGAAAGATGTTCTGTGCGCGCCCAAGAAGGGTTCTGGCGGCCAGGTTGGGAAGTTGGGAGTTAAATCTCAGGGAACTGAGGCATGCTCCCTAACGAGGTGTCAGAGCCCATCTCCAGCACTCAGGCCTGTGCTGGCAGATTCACACCCCCCATCTTCACACATCCACAAACGCACCACACTCAGAAAAACGCGCGCAAGGGCACACACATGCCTTCCGCGTCCAGGCCCGCGTTCGCCCTATGACACTTGGCCAATCGATCCCAGGACTGGAACTCCCTTTACAAGATCCTGGCAGCCCAAATTCCCAGGGAAACTTGAATAGAGGTGGAAAAGTGTTTGATGATA